GTTGGACAGTGTACTGTAAAAAAGGGAGCTAACAAAAGGCTCTGGAGAAAAAAGTGACCCATGGTTGACAAAGCGGTTGCTGTATGTGCGTTCTCTGTCTCTGCGCCAGTTTGCAGGACCCGGAGACGCCCTCCAGCCAATCAGGAAATGGGGCTCACGGATTGGCTCGAGTTCTCACGGGGACTCGCGGTAGTTGCTCGAACTTGAGATGAGCGTAGGCGACTGGTTCATGTGCACTCGCCGGTGGCAGTGAGTCTTCGCGCGAGGTCAAATGTGCGGAGTGAGTCACCACAACTGCTCCCTTCTCAGGATCGTCACACAAATATCCTCCTTTGAAGGAGCCAACTGAGCGAAATCGGAAATTTGGACGTACAATCAAGAGCGAAAACATTCGCTTTCATCCTATACGAGTGCCCCTTTTCCTCAAAATTTGTCACAGGCAATTTTTCCATTACAGAAATTATGGACTCTATTAAATGTGTACGTATAAGTAAGGAAGTAGAAAGCGGTTCGCTCACTGGAACCAGTTCGTTATTCATGTGAGCTTTTGGACTGGTAGAGGAGTCCACTGTCAGGGATAAAAGCTGTAACGAAACAAGCAACAGTTATAGCGGGGGTGGGTGGGTAGGAAGCAATCAATAACCCGTACCACCAACTCAGAGTTGACGCTGCGGGGACCAGATCCATATAGCAATTAACTGAACTCTCATTGGAGGCCTATGCCTCCGAGAAGAAGACGATTCGATCGCTGGGACAATACTTTTATTCGCCTGACGTTTCCATATCCGTCGCGGATTCGTTCTCAGGGACATAGTCAGAGAGTAATGGCAAATGATGACGAATCCCCGACAGATACCGAAACGTCAGGCGAATAAAAGTATCGTCCCAGCGATCGAGTCGTATTCTTCTCAGTTACTTCCTGGGACTTGAATGTTCGCTTGTATTGGCAACCTATGCTTCCGTCAATTTGCGGCTGGTCTTCCTTCTGGTGTGAGCAATTAGCTTCGCGGCTGTGAAGTTAAACTCGTGACCCGTCTCGTGCGTGTGCACAGTCGCTAATTATAATCCGTCAACCCGCCGCCTGACCTGGGTAGTTAAAAGGACAGTTTAGACACGAGATGCAACAAATCGTACCCAACTGTTCGCCAGGATTTACTCAGTCCCTGATTTTGATGACACTGACCGATGTTTTATTCCGACACATAGTCCGGCAGCAATGCGCTCGTCCGCCTTTGACACGTTCTTCATATATGCCAAGGTATGCTATACCGTAGGTGCTGTTTCTGGTTGGGGCTTCTGGGGACGAACGCGTAAACATAGGCTTAAGAAC